GGACATTGGAAGGCGGGGTGGGGGTGGGGTGAGGTGTGTGTGTGGGGGGCAGTGAGGGAATAGGTATCTAGCCACAAGTCCCACCCAAAGTGTTCTAATCTAGAAGGGGAGGGGAGGAATATAACCAGGGCCTCTGTTCCCTCTGATAACTTTCCTGCCTCATTTATGTGTTCTACTTGCTCATTTTATGGGGATGTAGGGTCAGTGTATTTGTTGACTTGGTCTGCTCTTATCAGAAATTCTGAAGTGGCTAGTTTTTTGATATTATGTATCTGAACCTTTTTTTAGCACTTCTCAGGATTAAAGTTTTCCTTTTAAAGAAAGGTAGGCTCCGTATGGCAATGCTTTGTTTCCTAGCAATCACAGTATTTAGAGCCTTACATTTTCTCCAGCAGATGTACCTATGAAGTTTGAAGAATAAATATCAAAAACCTTAGTTGACATACTCATTTAGTTTGTGGAGATTATCTTAATTAAAAGGTATGCATAACAATGTAACAATGCGAAGAAAAGCGGCTTAATAATATGAATATCTAAATGGGTGGTCCTTGTACATCTGCTTCCCACGGGCCAATTAAATAGCCTCAACATTATGCAAATGCTTCCCATTTTCTTTTCAAAAACAGTTCATCTTAGCTGTTACCATAATCCATTGTCACCACATACAGCAAGCCTAAGGCAAGTTGTACCAAATCTTCTTAGAAGCTTGTTTTTTAATGTGCTCAAATTGTTAGATGAGGGATCATTCCTGTTTCTGTCTAGAAGGCACTAGAAAGTGGAAATTGCCTATTTCCTATCAAGAATGAGAGTGTTGCCAGCAGGTACATAAAAGGAAACCAATCTGTGAAGGTGGGGAAGGGAGAAACACCAGACTTTGGACTGGCACACTGGGATTGAGTCCTAATGGTACCATGTAAGGCTGAGTGTCCTCAGACCAAGCAGCTAACTCCTCTTTGCCTTTGTTTCTTCATTGAAAACTAAGTGGATTGATAAGCTTTCAGCTTCCCATTGTAACATTTTGTAATTTCTTGTACAAATGTGTAAAAGAAAAGAAAATCATTAACCAGCCTTGTGATGGTAGATTTTCCACATTTTGTTTTTCCTTAAACTTCCCATTTTGGTACACATAATCTCCATATTGTGGCTTGTAAGAGACAAAGGTATAAAAAAATGCTTTGTTTTTCATAAAGTTGCTTTTAAATATGATGTCTTCTGCATCTTATACTTTCTTAGATGTTTACTTCCTTCCCTCCCCTTTGTGAAGTTCATAATACTCAATACTACACACAACTCTCTTATTTCTTTGGTTTGGAATTTGGACTTGAATGAACCCCACCAGCTCCATCTTTGGTCAATGCAAGCATTTTCTCCATATTAAAGGAGGATTCACACTTGATGGAAATTCTCTTCTTAGTTAATTAGAGTGTCTAAGAATAGTTTTAAAAGGAGAGCATCTAGGGGTTTCTGGGAAAGGTTCACTCCTAAGAAGGAGGGCATCCTATAGGAGGCATCTATTCCTGGTGCTATTACTTACCCTGGTGGCTCATACACCTCTGATTTACCCATAAGTAATTACCTTCCTTCTTTCTCTGAATGATAGGAGGAAGCAGAGTGGCGAGTATTTGCATTATTTCTGTGGCCTACATTTGTC